ATAAGATAAGGGATTATCCTTATCACTTAAAGAGTCCAGATCCAAATAAAGATTTGGATCAGGAAACTCCTAATCAAATTAGGAGGTTGTCTCTCTAAGGCTATAAATAAGAGAGCAGGGTGGACATGCAAAACATACCAGACAAGACACAACAAACTGTAGAGTTCTTCCCTGTTCTTGTCGCCCCTACCCAATTCGATCTCCACTTGTGGGAGTGATCAAGAATTGTTCTTGATATTGCTTCTTGGTAGAAGAAGCAATCTGAAGTCGTGCTCACCAGCCCTCTACTCCATTCTTGTTGAAAAATTCGGTTCTTGCTGAAGAACCGTCCTACTGATCCTGCTTCACCACACACACTGTGTCATCTTCAGTGGAAGCGGGTTTTGGTTATCTCCTTGGGCGTGAACACCTTCATTGGGAGTTACTGCTATTCCGTATCAGGTATACCCCTCTCCTCCCTTTTGGTTTCAGATTTGGTCCGGTTTGGTTCAAGATTGATCCTTGAAAATGCAGTTTTCTAAAATAGGGAATGCGATTCCCAAATGGGAGAGAGAGAAATTTTTGAAATTTTGCCCAACCTTCCTGCAGAGTTCAGCCATCCATATGATGGATCTCTCATCCCTTCAAGCCCATGGCCTAGCTGAACTTTTGTGGGTTCAGATTCTACTTAGGGAGTTGGAAATTCAAACTAATGGCCCCTTAAGACTCTACTACTACAATTAGGCTGCCATCAACATTGCCAACAACCATGCTCAACATGATAGAACCAAGCACACTGAAACTGACAGACATTTTGTTCAGGAAAGGATCATTCTAGAGATCTATGCATTCCTTATTTTTCCTACCACAAAGTAGCTTGCTGATGTGTTTACAAAAGGAGCCCAAATCAAAATTTCATGAGCAAGTTAAGCATGATGGATATCTATGCTCAACTTGAGGGGGAGTGTTGTAAGTCTTAATGTTGTATGGGTTGGGTTGTTACTTACATCAGTTTTATCTTTCTGGGCCTAATGGGCCTAAGTTACTCATTTCTTAAATTTGTTTATGTTTAGCCCGCCTAATGAAGGGCAACCTTGTAGTTTCTCATGTTTCTAAGTTATATTTAAATTCCATCCTGAGCTGAACAGAACAAGACTGCCACCCCATTTTCTTCTTCTCTTCTCTTATTTTCTCCTCTTCTCTTGCTCAAAATACTTCACAATCTAATGAGAACAGTTCATCTTATAGAATTGTAACTCCAGAAGAATTGAAGAAGCAAAAACAATGAGTCAATAAAAATGCTAGAAATGCACTACCTCAGAAATCAATGAATTAATGTTGTTAATAATTCCCAGTTGATCAGGTGGCATACTAACAAGAGTAGCTGGAGGAAGAAATTGCCTATTCTCAACAAGCAATCGGTTAGTGGAGGTTCTACTTAAGGGAAAAGATGCAGTGTCTAATAATTCATTCTTGAAGGTGCTTGGCATCATGTCTGCACTTCTACTCTCCCCAAGAAATGAACTAAGAAATTTAACACCTGAAAGAGAAAGCAATTACAGTGAGAAGGGAATTTCAAATAAATTACAAATGGAAAATAACAAATAATTCTTAATAAGAAATACGTTTGGTACTGAAAGATACAAGAAGACAAGGATACATATACTGCCAAAAGAAGCGAATTTTTTTTTATTTATTTTTTCTATTTTTTTAAATCAAATCATTAAAAGGATAATGACCTAAGGGATAGAAATGAAAATTAGAAATCTCTTTAAAATTGAAAATAAGCTTCCCCTCTTCTTGATTGGGAAACAACATGCTTTGACTAAATTGCTCCCCACCCAAAAGAACTAAAAAAAAAGGATGTTATTTTATTTCACGAAATGAATGTAAATGAACTTCATGCTCAGAGACATCTCACACTTTTTAGATAAGATAAATAGTAGTTAGTCAGCAATTAAAAGAAAAACAAAAAAGTAAAGAACAATTAAACTCAAGTGCAATGTTTATAAACAAGGTCAACTGGAAAAGTACAATAGGCAGCGAAAATCAAACATATGAGGCAGAGATCAAGGCAAATCACAAGGGAATATTCATTCAACTGACAGAATATTTTGCAGCTAAAACAAAAACTTTTCTTTTTTTTCTCAGTTGTGGGATATTCTCACTAGTGTTAAGAAAGATCTCTGATCAATTTTGTTTGGAAAACTGCTCTTTTTGCTCAGTTTTTGAACTTGGATTCACTAATGTTATTGATCTAAATTGTGGACTGTTTACTAAGATGGCTTACAAGGTTGATGTTATACCTATGAAATTCGACCGAACTAGCTACAGCATATGRAAGTTTCACTTTGATTTCGTTGTTGAGGGAAAAGGTCTAGAAGGTTATCTGAATGGTAAATTCACTAAACCTGATGAAACTGAAGCAAAGGCTTTAAAGCAATTGAAGCTTGGCAATGGGAAGCTAGTCTCTTGGGTTCTAAGTTCTATACAGACCCACATTGCTGTATCAATGAGGAGAATGCAAACTGCTTATGATATGTATGCTTATCTGCTGATGAATCAGGTAAGTTCCAATGGGAAGCTTATTACCAGTCCAACATGTCTTAGACAGTACCAAATTGAACCTGAGTGTGCCAAGCACCTTCAGAAACATTTCGAGAAACAGAAGGTGAATCAGTTTCTCATGAGACTAAGACCACAATATCAGATACTCAGGTCTAATATCCTGAGCAGACTTAGACTAGAACATTTAGAAGGGTTTTGATCTCTCTCTTGGATTGCCTGGTTGCTACAGTTTCCTTTTATGGACAAGTGAGAAATTTCTTGGATTTGGAGTGGCCTGATTAATTGTTGGATTAGGAGTGGCCTATCTTTTCTGCCTTTGAAACTTTTCCAGAGATTGTTTTATTCAGCTGAAAGGTGCTTACTTTCTTCTCTTCTTTTCAGGGACCATTGCTACTTCTTAAGGGGACTGTTACTTGTCCTTTGGAGTTTTACACTGCTGCTTTGTTGATTAATGGCTTCAGAAAGAATAGATGTCCTTCCCTTCAAGTTTAATGGATCTAATTATGTTTTATGGATGTTCCACTTTAAATTCCATGTTGAAGCAAAGGAACTTTGAAGTTATTTGGATGGCACAACTACTAAACATGATGATTTAGATCCCAAGGCCCTAAAGCAATGGAAATTTGATAATGCAAAGTAGGGGTGGATTCGAGCCAAGCCGAGCTGAATATCTAACTATTCCAAGTTAGTTGATCTTGTCAACTAATCCCACGAATCCCACTAATCAACATAAGAATGTAGTAGATCTTGTCAAGATGGCTAATCCCACTAATTCCAAGTTAGTTGACATTTCCTTGGAGATTAATTTAAAAGATAATAAAGATGATGGTCTCCTTCTCGAAGATCCTACTCTCTATCGCCAATTAGTGGGTAGTTTAATTTACCTTACTATGACTCAACCAAATATATCACATGTAGTCCAAATTGTAAGCCAGTTTGTGTTGTCTCCACGACAACCACATATGTCTGTTATTTTCTAAATTATCAAATATGTGTAGGGGACCTTACCTCATGGTCTATTCTTCTCATCATCATCTTCTCTCAATCTTATTGGTTATGCTAATGCTGATTGGGCTGGTTGCCTAAACACTCGGAGATCTACTACGTGTTGGTTTGTTTTCTTGGGTGACTTTCTTATCTCCTAGAAATGCAAAGAGTGGTATACAATATCTACACCATCTACTGAAGTTGAGTATAAGGCCGTGTCCTCTATGTGTAGTGAGATTATCAGGCTAAGGGCTCTTCTACATGATCTTCTACATGAGTCTCCACCCTCAGTTCCCTCTTTACAAATAATTTCAGTGCCATCAAGATTGCCTTCAATCTTGTTTTTCATGAGCGCACAAAGCACATCGAAGTTGATTGCTAAATTATTCAAGACCTCTTCCTTGCAGGCATTATCTCTCTGCCACTGTGTCCTTTGGACTCCAACTTGCCTACATTTTGGCAAAAGCTATAACTTTTATTTTTTATGCTTTCTTGTAGATTAGATTGTTTCTTATTCTTTTGTGCATTATTTGCATATTGAGGACAGAATGGTCCTTTCACCATTAGAATATAAATATTCTTTCCTAGGTGTCAACTATCACTTTTTGAAACACCCAACATTTGTTTGTCTTCTTCTTTTCTTAGTCTCATGATTTGACTCTAACAGAATCAAGTGAATGCACAAGTTTAAAGTGAAGAAAGCTCAAGGGTTTCAATGCAACAGTATGGAGCTGCCTAGGGTAGCCCAGGCCTAGGCCACAAGCTCTAGGCCTAAGGATAAAGTACTAAATAAGGAAGGGGAGATCGTGGACTTTGTTCCAACTAGGAGATGGAGGAGAATTCTGAAGATCGAGCCAAAACATATGTTATAGAAGAGGCGTGGACAAGAACGGGAGATGCTTTGAAGATTGTTGAGAAGAGGGTTGCTGATCCTTGAAGGAAGAGGAGTGTCCTGGTTCCGTGGTTTATTGGAAGGAGCTAAGAGGACAGTACGAACAAGAGAATGGAAGTGCATCATGATGGAAGATGGTTGAAGTTTCAATGCTGAAAGAAAGGAGAACAGGAAGGGAGATATGTTAGAATCTATGAAAGTTATGGAAAGGGTATGAAGCAGTTCACATGCTTCCCTGAACAAAGAGAAGCTGTAGGGTGGGATGTGATAACACAAGCACTGCAAGAGTACCTGGAGATAGTGTATGAAAAGAATAAGCCTCTACTAAGACAACAAGAAAATAAATAAAGCTCTAAAGATTGGGTGGAGGATATGGAATGGAAGGAGACAGAAACGAAGCTTACCAGTAAATAGGGGATACTCAATTTGATGTAAGAGTGAGCTCATTGAGATTATGGATGAAGAAATCCAAAGAATATTGGGAAATATACTAGTAATCTCGTTAAACAAGGAAGTTATAGACTGGAAGAGACTGGGAGAAGAGGTTCAGCAAGTTTAGAAGAGTCCAAAAGAGTTGTAGATAGTCCCATTCGATGGACAGAAGACTCTAGTTTCCAATCTCTACGCTGGGTCAGAGTTTTCAACTATCTCAGCAGAAACAAAGGAAGGACTGGCGTTGGAAGGTGGTCCCCAACCTGCAACGAGAAAAGTGTAGCTGCAACTACCTATATTGGAATGAAAATTATAGGGCTGCCTTTTCATTTATGGTCAGATGAGATATTCAATAGAATTGCCAAATGATTCAGAGCTGCGAGCAGTACCACTTAGGGTAAATGGTGCAAAGCCGGATTTAATTCCAAGAGCTACAAAGATTTTTTCAGATGGCTTGCTGTTCAAGGCTTAGATTGCTACCTCTGTGGAAGCAAGATGGTGGAACGATACTGGAGAAGATGATGCTGACGTGGCAAAGAGGATTCGAGTCAACCTCGAGGAAGGGAAGCGACAAAGGGAGAAGAAGAGTTTCACGAAAAAGGAAACTGGGTTTTTGAATCAAATTTTAAAGAAACCAACGGCTCTCTCCAAATCGCATGCTCAAGCGGTGAGGGAGCGAAAAGTTGTACGCAATGGCAATATCCACATTTAATGGCAAGTCAGAAGTTAGGGACAGGTGGAAGAGTCGAAGGAAATGAAGTAGATGGGCCGAACCAGTCAAGACAGGCCAGTAAGGCCCGGCCCAACAAAGGAGAGTTCAGCTAAACAAAGGCCCAAAAGAAAGGTCATGTGATCACGTGACCAGTAGCAGAGATCGAAAGTTAGTAGACCATTCTAATGGTCTATCTTCGTCCCAAAACAAAAGCAAGAAATCTTGGGACGAAATCGAAGCCTGGTTCGAGACTCGAATGGGTGCAGAGACTGGTTTCATACTCTACCAGTCTAGAGAAGCCAAAACCGAGATATAATCGACAGAGGAACAGGGTTGAAACAGTGGATTCGGGTTGGATAAGCTTGGAAGAGATAAGTACGGAAGAAGAGGAAAGCCCTGACAAGTCAGTCCACGGCACATTCAAGGTAAATACCAGTCACGGATAGGAGGAGAAGGTCTGAGGTTGCTTTTCGATGATGAAATATCTACTTCTCATACTCAGCTCCTAGGTCAGTCTGGAAAAAACGAAGGAAGATCAGGCACTAGGTTCAGTGGAGGGAACTCCATTCCAAAGAACAGGGGAGACCATTCTCCAAATAAAGACCAAGTTCAGGTTGACTCTAAGGCTTGTGAGGTCAACCCAGATCACTCCAACAGAGATACGAACTGCCCATGCCCCATAGCTAACATTCCAGAGTTTGATTTTGAAGTGAACACCTCCGGCAAAAATCCAGTTTGTGGTGTCCAGGACCTCCAGGTTACGTCTTCTCCTCCGGTAACTTCGTCCCTTGCCCAGAAACCTGTCATGACCCCAGTTTTTGTTACTACTAATATTCTGCCTAGTCCTGTGTGTGACGTGCCTACAAGTGTGACGTGCCTACAAGTGGGACGAGCCCAACCATATAATCTGTCGGTCTGGATGTTCAGGGGCAAGAAACAGAGATGGTGG